AAACCCTGAACCCTAAACCCCAGCAAGGACCTGCCAGGGACTTAGGCTTTAGGGTTAAGGGGTTTCGGGCAGGTTTTAAATCTTGTGGTGCTGGTAGTCGTGAGCAGCAGCTGTAGCAGCAGCAGCAGCAGCAGCAGCAGCAGCAGCAGCAGCGGCAGCAGCATCAGTATCAGTAGCAGTAGTGATCAGTAGTGGTAGCCTGCAGTTGCAATTGCAGTAGTAATCGCCATCGCAGTGGTAGCGATGGTGGTAGTGCTGGCGGTGGGTGGTGGTTACTGGAGGTACTTGTAGCACCGATGGATGATGATGTTGCTGTTGCTCTCGTTTGCTGAGCTACAACCGGAAGGTGTCAAATCTTTCATCCCTGCACGGCCCTACACCCGCCAGTCAATTTCTGCCATTGTACCTGTTCGTTGACGGATACCGGCCATGAAGCCGGAACACGCAGAATTTGGGTCATGGACTGCAACATGTGCCAGCAAGTAACAGATCCAGCTACGGCTGTCCTTTTCTGAGTCAATAGGTATACTATCTAGCAAAACAAGGCAAGCACAAGGCTTCTGCCAGTTCTTTCACTGTTACAAAAGTCTTCGCCGAGAGCACGAAAATGGTGCTGCTAGTTGTCGCGATGCCGGTGGTATCCGGTGGTGACCGGTGGTGGTGCTGGTGGCGGTGAGGGTTGTGGCGATGGTGTCATCACCGCTTTTTTTTGGCATGATGCATCCGTTGTTACGACCATCGTGTGTAGCTATGTTGGCTCTCAAGATTCGATACTGAGCCCCCCGATGGGTCGCATCTCTCGCAGCTGCGCCGCTGCAGCATCGGCCAGCCAGTCAAAGACAGGATCACTTTGCTCAGAAGGCGGCGGAACCTCGAGACGGCTCCATGAAGCAGGAGGAAATCTTTCCGCCTACAAGCGCAAGATCTCAACCCGAATCCTGGGGACCACTCCGCCACAATGCTGAACTCATTACAATACTATTTCAATACTATCATAATATACTATTATAGTACTATTATAATACTATTATAATACTATTATAATACTATTATAATACTATTATCATACTATGATAATGCTATGTTAATACTACTAAAATACTACTAGAATACTACTATGCTACCATTAGAATGCTCCTCCCCGGTGCCCGAGCTTCCCAGGAGGGCCCGGGGAAGGCGCCTCCTCGGCGCCAGGCGTGCGAAGGGCGACAGTCAGCTCCAGGCGCCGGAAGTCCAGGCTTTCTACCTCGGAAAGTGTAGGGGTTTAGGGTTTAGGGTTAGGGTTTAGGGTTTAGGGTTTAGGGTTTAAGGTTTAGGGGTACTGAGAGCAATGAAACGACGATGATGCGGCTTGCTGCTGATGATGCCGATGGCGATGACGATTACGATGGTGAAGGCGGTGATAATGCTGAGACCAGAGTGATGCAAAAACTCGTGGCGACGCTGTTGATTGGACGCTGCTGGTGGTGGCGGTGATGACAAGGATGATGCTATGATGGTCGTTCTGCTGGACGGCGTGAAGGCAATGGTGCCGGTGATGGCGGGCCAGAACATAATGAGGGTGATGGGGTGCGCCGCTGCCGAACGTGATGGTGATGATGCTTCTGTGAATTGGTAATGCCGCTGATGCTGGCGAACACCATCATCAGCATCGGCATAATCATTCTCAGCATCAAAACTGGTGATAACCATGATGCTTCGTGTAAGTATGGTGGTCAAGAACAGATTTATGCTGATACAACTTGATATGATTGTCTCGAACGCCTTTCTGGAGAGCATTGTTTGCACTATATCTTAAAAGGTTATGTGCCCACCTATATGCGTGTGCATGTTACACCATTCGTCTTTCGGAAGAAATTCCAATACGGAAACTTTAGCGTGAAAGAACGCGGGCCCCACAGCCTTGATTTCTGTGTGTGTGTATATATATATATATATGTGTGTGTGTGTGTGTATGTGTATATGCACTTACATGTGTGTGTGTGTATATATATATATATATCGGTTCCCTTGTTCCGAAACGAGACGGCTGTTCGGCTAAGAGCCTCGGGCTTCCAGATTTCAGCATGCAACCTTCGATGCCCAAGGGTTCAATCATGGTTTGGGTGCGTTCGAACGAGTTTCTGAAGGGTGGGAGGGCATCCCGGGATTTGAGAGGGGTTGGGCACGGCGCACCATCCGGTTCCAGCGCACATTGTAAACTACAGTGGTTTAGAGCGGGATATGCGGCAAGACACCCAAGAAAAACGCAAGAGATATTCAGATTGCGAAATACCAGAACACCCCGAAAGTGCCTCACGTAGAGAACAACGAACAGCACAGCCAATGAACTGCCTGGTGGCGCTTGGCGCTGAAGCATTAGCAAACTAAGTATTACAACCACCATGTCAGAAGCAGTCTGAAAGACTTATCCTTGGAGCAGGCCACCGCCAAGACAACCTCGTGGGAGGCCACGCGGTTGATTTGCCAGCCCTTCCGAAGAAGCTCCTCCTAAAGCAGGGATGGAGGGGGGTTCGGGGCAGCCCGAGACCAGCCACAACGCAGACCCTAACTAATTCCAATCATAAGCTCGAGGAGGCCAAGGCCGAAGAGTTCCACTTAGCAAGACTGTACCCAAACCAAGAAACCGAAACCTGGACTGTCGCCAAAACTAAAACTCAACGAACCCAAGTGCCGTCTCCCCTCCAGACTCCAGCAGCCTAGAAGCTTACCAAAGCGTCATGCACTGTCCGATGGCGTGCCTGCGAGGCGATCATAACCCGGTCTCTCAGCATGTGGAACGTTAGGGCATCCGCCAACAGCATCTCCGCCTGGAGAAGCCTGAGCAGCTGAGTGAGTCAAAGGCGGGCTGTGTTTCACTTATTGCAATATCTTGGTTTGAGTATTTCCCAAGACACTAGCACTAGCACTACACTATCCTTGCTGATGCTGATGCTGCTTGGTAGTGCTGCTTCTAGTACTGGCAGTGTTACTTGTACCAGTCGTAGTGCTAGTATGAACATCAGTGCTAATATTACAGAATACAAATACACATGTATAACAAGTCCGAAAATACTAACGTACTGATGCACGAAAATGAAACGAATGTACTCATATGCTGAAATGCTTGCACACTGTCATACTGTCATACTGATAACATACCATTGCCAATGTACTGTCATACTCATATACTCATCTACTACCATACTGATTTACGATGGTATGAATATACGAAAACAGTATGAGAATACAGTAACATCGAGCATACGAATAGCAATACATATACTAGTGCTGATACCAGTAATGATGCTAATAGCTGCCGATGGATGTGTATATATATATATATATATACCTGGATGTACACCTACATATACTCATTCGTATAAATGCATCAACATATGCACACGCATAATGCGTAACACATGATACACAATACATATTATACGTAATAATATACTCATGCTCATGCTCATGCTCATACTCATACGGCTATTTTGATCACTACATCCCCTCATTTCCATAAGCTAACGGAACTGACGGCAACCAGACCGACGAACATCGCCCAGTGGCGCTCTGTGAAGTGCCTCCGGACGCGGCGTGCTCGGATCCCAAGGTGGTGGAAGAAGTGCCTGCAGGAAAGGAAACTGCAGGTGGGGGAGTTTAGGGTATATAGGGCTTCTATAAGGCTTCCATACTGTGCTTCTGTCTACTATCATGGAATAAAACAGAGTACAACAGAATATAACAGAATGTATAACAAACTGGATGGAGTATGCTAATATATAAAATATCTGAAGTCTAGAGGTTACAAACAAGAAGGCTTGTTGCCACGGTCATCCTCACCGTTACTCTTATCATCACCACCACTGTTCTACTTCTTCCTGCATAGCATCCTCATATACCCCTTCAGCCTTCTCCGTCGATGCTGGCCGTCATCCTCGGGCCTTTGGGTTCAGAACCTTGGGGGTTTTACCCTACAGCCCACACCCTAAAACCCTAAAACCCTGAAAAACCCTAAAATTCTAGAACCCTAAACCCTAAACCCTGAAACCCTGAAACCCTGAAACCCTAACGACCCTAATGGTTGAGGGCTTCTGCTTCGGCCCTGCGCGCCATCCCTAAACCCTAAACCCTAAACCCTAAACCCTCGACCCTAAACCCCACACCCTAAACCCTAGAACCTAAACCCTAAACCCTAAACCCTAAACCCTATCCCCGCACGGAGATCGCCTGGCTCCTGCCCTTCAGGCCCTGGCCCCGCAGCTGGAGCAGCAGGCGCATGCGGCTGTGAATTAGCCTTCTTTTTCAGGGTTTATAGGGATTTAGGGTTTCGGGATTTAGGGTTTAGGGTTTAGGGATTTAGGGTTTAGGGATTTAGGGTTTAGGGCTTAGGGATTTAGGGTTTAGGGTTTAGGGGTCTTGGGAAGTTTAGGGGGTTCCCAAGAAGTACCGGGAGTTTTGGGTCTTGGGCTGCAACTACCCGGAGTTTTGGCCTTGGGCTTTTGCGAGGTTTTGAGGTTGTAGGTCAAGCGTTGCAAGGGCAGGTAGCTTGGGAAGGAGTCGCCTTGGCTTGAAGCCCAAGAAGGCGTAGAACATAGCTCAGGACAGCCCGCTTCTGCGAGGGTTACTCAAAGGCATGATGGGTACTATAAGTGACTATAAGATACTATAAGGGATACTACAATAAGGGCTATGGTAAGAGGTCTCCATCTGAGGCTACAGACCCGAAGCCCTCGACGATGCTTGAAGGCCGATGCCCTGTCTGCAAGCCAAAGGGCTGTGAGAGCTCCACGGGGAAGTTCAGGCAAACCTGGCTCGGGCTTGTGTGGCTTTGAGGGTATTAGGCTTTGGGGATTTGGGGTTTAGGATGTCTGGGTTTAGAGCTCGCGAGCGTGAGCCGCAGTTTTCGGATAGTGGTGACGCATGCATGTGTACAGTAGTTGTCTCTTTTTGCACCCCTCATGGTACCGCTTATACTACCACTTGTAGCAAGCAGTATCCCTTTTCGCACCCCTCATAATATCCCTCCCTATCCTCATTATCCTAGTACCCCTTAAACCTAAACCCTAAACCCTAAACCTTAAAATACACCCGCCTAAAATCTGTGGACGGGCGACGCCCTTCTTCGGGTGGCTGGTGACGCGCACCCGCGGCCGCGTCGCCAGCAAACGCTTCGGCGGCCTCATCCTTCCTGTCCACCTTTCTTGCGAGTTTGGTCTCGGGTTTAGGGTGTAGGCTTTGGGGTTAAAGTTTAGGCATTTTGGGGTTGGTTCGTGCGTTGTTGAAGAAAGCTTTCGCCAAGACCGGTGGGGTTTGGGGTTTGAGTAGAAATCGCCCAACAGCGTGGTAACATCATGGATTCTTATGTTCGCTCGCTGATAAGCACATGTCCACTCCCACCGTGGCGAGCCCAGTGTTGCTGTGGCCGCATCCTAGGGCCCTAATAGCCATGCATTGTAAGGATGACCACGTTGAATCGCTCGAACAGTCCCTAAACCAGGGCCGCACTCTTCGCCTTCTGAAGGCTACAGAATTTATTCAAATTCCGAAATCGCGAACTCGCTACAGTGCCGGGCAAATTTTGTGGTGCACATCGTCTTCCGCACGTGTCCGTCCCGACAAATCGTGACAACTCGCAATCCCAAAACACAACATGTTGCGGAAAAACCGACCAAGACGCAGCTCGATGGCATATTGACCTGCGACACAGTGAAGATGCCATCGCTGGCCGAGGAAAGAGAGAGCAGCCTCCATCTCCGCAAGCTGCTGGAGCGCTTTGTTTGTCAAACGAGCATTGGCGATGTCCAAGAGCTCTTGACGATGAGCTTCAGCCGCCTCGTCCACCTCCGAGGCGTGCCGCATGACCTGCGAGAAGTCCAGGGGCCTCGGCACCGCCGACTGGAGAGCCAGGAACTGAGTCTCGCCCTCACCGCCGCTCAGCAGCTGCGCTGCCGTGGTTGCACGCTGCACACCGTCCAAGGCCGTCTCCTGTGCCTCCCGCAGAAACTCGATCCGCTCCCGGTCGCTCTCAACCGGACCCGCACCCTCGTGTCGGCGCCGTTTCGCAGCCGACTCCTCCAGAAGCAGTCGCTCGACGCAGCGGCTCGGAGTGGCATCTGGATCCTCCCAAACGGGCTGCAGACTTCCATCCCGGTGCTGGTCGAAGCGAAGCAGCACGGAGCCGACCGGGCTCTCGAGGACTACGGGGACCTTCGCAGCATTGGCAGCAGTGGCCATGCCGGGTAGTGTGGCATGCGCTGCCGATGAGCCTAGAGGAGGAGCAAAGCACCTGGAATAGAATACCCAAGATACACAGGTGCAGCGGACAATGAAACATGCGTCTGTGACTGCATGGAAGTTTGCTCCATGTACACACACTGCTTCTTTCTGAAGCTGCGGGGATGCACGACGCATCAGGATGCAGCCGCCCCAGGGCCGCAGAAGTTACTGGGACCTCCACTATCTGCAAGGTCAACACCTGTGATGACGAGCTGATCTGCAAGCTCGCATATTCTACCTCTTCACCCATGCTCACCGGACTGCATGATTTCTGGGGGCTCCCTAAACACCGAACCTCAAAATCCTCACAGAACTCCGACTGCGCTTTTTCTCGGCAGCATCACCAGTCCATGAGGACATCCTGCGCAGGTCAGCCAAAGCAGAAAGCCCTAATCTTGAACCCCCCTAAACCCTAAACCCTAAACCCTAAACCCCTAAACCCTAAACCCTAAACCCTAAACCCTAACCAGAAAACCCAAGCCGAAGCTATGCACGGCGCATCCGAAGACCTTGGACTCGAAATCTTCCGTCACCCTGCAGCCTGGTGGTACATCATACTCGGTTTAGGGTTTACGGCCTAGTGCGGAAGGCATACCAACAATGTTGCTGTCTTCGAGCTATATAGGAGTTTTCAATACGCCTTCCATGGTTGAAACCTTGCTGAATCTGATAGCGCCAACGACTGCAGCCTTCGGGAAACATGAAAACCTGCCCATTGCAAGGAATCCCCTTCTGCAACATGTCTAGGGAGTGTGCCAGCCTGTCAACCATACATCAGAAGCCACCACGCCCTCACAGCTCAGCATAAGCCACATCTAAGAGCTGTTCTTCATAGATGCCCCCCCTACCCCGAGCCTGAACCTGAACTCTCCCATCACCCCGTCCTCGTTGCCGACAGAGTCCTCGGGAGGCTGCAGCCACCTTTGATTAGGGTTTAGGGTTTAGGGTTCAGGGTTTAGGGTTTAGGGTTTAGGGTTTAGGGTTTAGGGTTCAGGGTTTAGGGTTTAGGGTTTAGGGTCCACTCTGCTCATGGCTTGAAAAGGAGGCGATTCGGCCTTTGAGCTTTGTGCAGATCGCCTTCGTCTTTGCTTGGTGTCGTCAGAGCAGGAGCACCACTACCACTACCACTACTACTACCACCACCACGACAAATACTACCACCACTACTACTACTACTACTACTACCACCACCACCACCACCACCACCACGACAAGTACTACCACCACCACTACTACTACTACTACCACCACCACCACCACCACCACCACTATTACTACTAACTACTGCTGCTACTGTACTGCTATGGCTACTGCTACTGCTACTGCTAATACTGCCAACACCACCAGTACTACTACTTTGCCGCCACCACTACTGGCTTCTACAAGTAGCTACTAGCTACTGGCTACTGGCGCCTGGCTACTTGCTACTGCTACTCCCGCTCCAGCCCCTAAACCCTAAACCCTACTCCCGCTCCAGCCCATACATCCGGGCCTGGTCAGAAACTCGCACTTCTCCGGGCAGACGCGGCCCCCTGCCTGCCAGCTTTTGGGGACTCGGGGGTAAGTGTTTGAGTTGGAGGTTTCCGTGGTTTGGGGTTTGATATGCAGCTATGCAGGATTTGGGGGTTTCGGATTTAATGAGCTTGGGATTTGTTTAGAATCCTCGGAAGTTTGTCAGCATCTCGGGGCACCTTGGCTCTGTCTCTCTAGAGGAGTGAAGAGGGGATAGCCCTCGCACTGTACCTGTACTGATACGATGACGAGTACTGAGACTGATGCTAAACAGATGCCAAAAACTGATACTTAAACATTCATACTCGTATAAACACGAATACCCAGACTAAGGCTAGTACCGGTGCATCCGGACTGCACTTGGCCCTCCCAGATCTGATCAGTGGAAACCCAAATCTGGGATTTTGGAGTATGGGGCTTCGGTTTTGGGGCATGTAGTGTTAGGGTTTAGAGAATATAGCTTGTAGGGCAAGCTCCCGAAAAGACACAAGGCTAAATCAATAGAGCTGAGCTTTGCGATGGATTGCCCTAAACCCGAAACCCTAAATCCAGTCGGTCGGTGCTCTTAAGCCCTGAACCACCCTAAATCCCCGAAACCCCTAACCCCCTATACTAAACCCTAAACCGGAAACTCTACATGCCAGAACTGTAAAGAAACCACTACCATCGCCTTGCACTCGTTGCGAAGGGGGCAGCAGAGACACGGCACCACGAGGCGGCCCTCTCCTTCCGCCTGCGCCGGAGTTGGCGTTTGGGTGGTTTTGGGTTTTAGGGATTCGGGGTTTGGGGTTTAGGTTTTAGGGATTCGGGGTATTTGGGGTTTAGGGTTTTTGGGTTTTAGGGATTCGGGGTTTGGGGTTTAGGTTTTAGGGATTCGGGGTATTTGGGGTTTAGGGTCTAGGGGTTTGGGGGTTAAGGGGTTTGGGGGTTTAGGGTTATAGGGATTCGGGGTACGTGGGGTTGTAGGGTAGGGCTTTTGGGTGGCAAGCCTCTAAAACCTGAAGCCCCATAGTGCCTTTACGTCTGAGGAATACATCCTCAGACCACGGGCCGGAATGAGGATGAAGCCGAACTCCACAAACCCCGAAACCTCAAAGACCAAAGCCCGACCTCAATCCTGAAACCAAGGGAGTACCTATAGTCTCCATTGTAGTTCTTTGTTTTGGTTTAACCCATTATATATTAAGGATTTTATAAGGCATCCCCAAAAAGGAACTACAATAGAGACTATAGGTATGAATCAACACAGATACGATTATGCAACTGCATAATGGGCATCGATCTCTGTAGGAGACGGCCGCACAGCCCCTGGCCTGCCGCAAGAAGCTTGGCAAGCGGGCCGCGAAGATATCCATGGGCTGGTCAAAGCCACCTGACCCCCGTTTTTTGCGTGGCCCTTTTCCTACCCCGTGCTCGAGCCTTGTCGGTGTGAAGGAGAAACCAGCCACCCGCGATACTAAACAGACCTATGGAAAGCTGAAGCTGAGTGCAATAAGGAATTGAGGTTTCAGGAACCTTCGCCACATGATCGCGACTGGAGCACGAGGAGGCCTCCTCAACCTCTGAGGCTCAAGATAAAGCATCCCCCAACCGATTAAAGGGTTTCGGCGGCGTTAATCTACCATCTAGCGATCGGAAAGGCAACGTAGAGACTCAAAACTTGCAACTTCGGAAATCGGAAGACTTTATGCAGGGGCACTGTCAGCAGGCTGCTTTTTCGGTTCCAGCCCAAGGCCTGGGCCTAAAGGCAGAAGCGACCCATGGACTGGACTCTCTCCGAAATCAGGTTAAGCGTTTAGGGGTTTAGGGTTTTAGGTTTAGGGTTTTAGGTTTAAGGTTTAGGGTTTTGAGTTTAGGGTTTTCGGTTTAGGGTTTAGGCAACCCTTTTTGTGCCAAGCCCTGGCCCGGAGATGGATTTCGCACTCCCAAGACACCTTTCCGGCGGCGCACAAAGACCCGCTGTCCATCGGAGGTGACGAGGGAGGAAACCTCCTGCAGGAGTTTGAAGGTTTAGGCTAAGGCCATCCATCATGACCCGAGGATTTTGCAGGTTTTTGCGTTTCTCGGGGGGTTTAGGGCGAAGCGGGAGGGATGATTGCATCTTGCGGCTTACAAAAACGACAGCAAGCAATGTTCAAAAAGCATATACCGCTGTGCAGCTGCACGGATGTCTTGACAAAAACACAAAAAAACATGGATCTTGAAGATCCAACTCCGCATACGTCGAAAACATCCCTGCGCACAGTGTTTTCGGGCGAACACGAAAGCCTGATTATCAAAGTTGACGTTTTGACAATGACCAACACACTGCCGGTGAATGCGCACGCACAAAACGCCGAGGTTTGAGTGTTGTCCTGCGTTGACCACAGAATTGCCATGCGCAAAATCGCCACGTTCACAATGGGCGGAGTTGACTTTAGGGTTCGTGGTTCATATTGGGCGGTTTATGTGGGTTTCTGGGTCTCTGGCACTGTGCTGTTCCCCACAAATCCCACTTAAAGCCATCCTTGGAGATCTATGAGTCCTCTTTCGATGTTGCAGTTTTCCGAAACCAAGAGGCCTTCAGGGTTCCTGGGAGCAGGGCTTATTTCGGGCTTCCAGGAGGTATCCTAAACCCCGAAGCCTTCGGGGCTCGGGTTTTGGGGTTTAGGGGTTTAGGGTTTGGGGTTTAAGGTTTAAGGGTTTGGGGGTTTAGGGTTTAGGATTTGGGGATTTGGGGGTT